GTACATGAAAATGGTTTTTGGTTCATTTTATGACTTTCTTGCTTTCGAAACTCGTTTGATTTATCAATTGAAACTGGTATCCAATTGAGAATAAGCATGATTGAAATGAATATTATGATTTGTTTCAATAAAAAATGTTCGTGAATCATGGTGATATTAGTGGACATCATTTTCTTGCAAAACATAATGAGCACTTCTTTATTTGCATTAAAATGTTGTGCGTACCATGTTTCAATCAAGATGAAATGGTATACATGATTTAATTTACACGATTTTCATAAATGATAGACCAAGTGTGGGTGATACAAGCACACTTAGTCTTTAAAAGCATCACACTAATTGTCTTTCAAATTTAATTTGAGATGTGATGAAAATAAGTCTTCTTCGTCGCGTATTTCAGTTGGAGGTATATTCAAGTTAAAGACCTTGAATTTCAATTCAATTTGAGTGCGAGGATCAAGAATATCAAGTTTGTCCTTCAACATTAACAAAAGTGCAGTACGATATTACTTGTCCGAACTAGAATGTAAGTGGTTTTGTCATCTCTCCATTTTTATTCGTCATTCACATGAACAAAATTTCTCCTATTTGACACGATAACTCTCAAATGATTATTCATGCCTGAAATGTTGGGATTACAACGATAAGAATTCTACAGAATCAATATGTTAGCATTTAATAGCATGAAAGTGACATTGCATAATATGTAAATCCTTACAGTAGTAAAATGTCAAATCAAGGCTTTCCGTCGTTTTTAAATGTTCAATTTGATAGTAAAACTATATATCCCGACAGTTTGTAAATGTCGGGTTCAACATTTCAAACGTCTAACCCGACGGTTTGTAAATGTCAAATTCGACAGTTGAACCGTCGAAAATATTGAGAAGCAGACGACAGTGGGCAGAACAGATTCTTCAGCACAACACATTAAGTGTGATAATTAGCATTGAGTTAGATGAAAATGTCAGATTGGCCTTGTTATTGAAGAGACATTTAAGATCCGTTTGATTGTAAAGATGGAATTGAATTGAAAACGAATATCAGGGAATTGAATTGCCTAGAAATTATTTTCCTAAAAATTGTAAATTATTGTATTTGATTGGTATAATTTTTCATGTAGAAAATGTTGAAATAGAAATATTTTTTGATATTCGTTTGACTTTATTTTACATGAAAATTATCAATTAAATAGATAGAATTTACTGATATTAGGTATGAAATTTGTTTCCATTACAAACAAAAAAAATTCAAGAAAATCATTTATTTTTTAGTGTTTGTTTAACTTTGTTTTATGTGAAAATTGTTAGTTAAAGGGAAATATTACAATAACTCTTAGAATTTATTTCCATTGCAAAAATAAATAAATAAAATTAAAAAATTACTACAATAACCGAGAATTTCAATTCTCGCCATTTTGGCGAGAATTTGAATTCAAGATTTTCATGGAAAATGCTGATATAGCCAAGAAAGGTGGAATTCATTTTCCATGGAAAATTTCACCTATCAAACACTACAAAAGTTGGAAAATGGTATTGATTTTCCATTTTCCATGGAAAAGGGTGTGCTATCAAACACACCTTTAATGAAAACGTTATTTGATTTGAATGGAAGAAAGTATTCAAAACCTTAATGGTGATAATCACATTTGTGAAGGATTCAAAAATAAAGAAATAAAAGAATAATAGTTTCAAAAATTTTAAATAAATATGTCCAAGTTGTATTTAATATTTACAAAACAGTAAACTGTAGAAATAAAATATAAATATTTTCTAATAGCTAACCTCTCAAAATTGATTATGAATGCAAGAGAAAAATCTTTCCGATCAATGAAAATGAAGAAGATGAGAAAAATTAGGGTTTGTAAGGGAAGAAGAAGATATATTTGTTTATGTTTCATTTTTAATTTCTTTTACCCTTTTTCATATTAGTCAATGTAATACACATTTATTTATATTTTTTATATATAAAATAAATTATCACATCAACATAATCAACTCCTTCAAATCAAGCATTAAATACTAATGAAAATGTGTCATTTACCATTTGGATATTTCATACAAAAAGTGACATTTTTGCTCACATAAAGTGAAAATGACAACTTTTGGGAATCTTGTTAATTTTGTGACATTTTTTGAAAATTTCCCTAAAAAAAATTGCAAGAACTTACCCAAAGTTAATCGTCGTAAATTCTTCCATACGGTTAAGATAAGGACTGCACGAATTTTTTTTCCAGGGAAAGAAACAAAAATTTAGAGAGTTTTTTACGCAGATAAAAGTTGAATTTTGGAATTGAAGGAGAGAGAATGAGTGAATTCAAAGAGTGATAGACACTACATTATTTATATTTTCTCAATAATATAATATAACAAAATCACTTTGACCAAATCCATTTCAAACCAGTTAAATGTGAAAATGCATGTAATAAAAATGAACAATCTAGCTCTGCACAAAAAAGAGCACTTCAAATTATTTTTAAAATTTAAAAAGTAATAACTCTCTTATAATTGTAAAAAGTTACTCTATATATAAATAAAAAAATAAAAAAATATTAACTTCAAAATTTTTAAGTACAAATATTTACATATATTTAGTTTTTGAAATTTTAAATATTAATAAAAAGAATACATCATTTAGAATGTAACAAGTTACTTATAAGTAAAAAAATCACTTCAAGTTATCCAAAATAATAAAATATTGTAAAATGTACTTATATAGATAAAAAAAAATTAACTTCAATAATTTTAAGTAAATATGTAAATATATTTAACATTTTTAAAATTAAATATTAAAAAAATATTAATATGAAATTATTTTATTTTATTTTTCAAAACGCCTTCGTGCACGGAATGATTTTCACTCCGTGTATGGAAAAAAATTTTAAAAATTTTATTCATAATAATATTTAATTATAAAAAATATTAAATATATCTAAAGTTACTTAAAAGTGTTGAAGTTAATATTTTTTTATAATTAGCTTTTACTATTATAGATTTTTTTTATTAATTTTAAATAATTGTAAATGAGTTTTTTACTTATAAGTAACTTTTTAAATTCTCTATCGTCTAATCATTTTGTCAATATTTAAGGAAGGATAAGCAACTTTTACGATAAGAAGGGATAAGTATAAATAAAAAAATAAAAAAGTATTAACTTAAAATTTTTTTTAAGTACAAATATGTACATATATTTAGTTTTTTAAATTTTAAATATTAATAAAAAATACACCGTCTAGAATGTAACGGGTTATTTATAAGTAAAAAAATCACTTCAAGTTATTTAAAATAATAAATAATTGTAAAAAGTACTTATATAGATAAAAAAAAATTAATTTCAACATTTTAAAGTAAATATTTAGATATATTTAATACTTTTAAAATTAAGTATTCAAAAAATATTAACATGAAATAATTTTTTATTTTTTTTCAAAATCAACTCCGTGCATGGAGCGTTATCACTTCATGCACGGGAGTGAAAATCACTCCGTGCATGGAGATTTTTTTTTAATTTTATTCATTATAATGTTTAATTGTATCTAAATTTACTTAAGTGTGTTGAAGTTGATATTTTTTTCTAGAAATAGCTTCTACAATTATAGTTTTTTTAATTATTTTTAAATAATTGGAAATGATTTTATAATTATAGGTTTGTTTAAATAATTTTCGTTTATTATAATTTAATAGTTACATAATAAATTATTTCTATTTTTCTCTCCAACTTCTTTGATTATACAATATAATAGTAATGTCTCTAATAAACTGAAAGCAAAGTAGTGTTATTCATAATAATATTTAATTGTAAAAATATTAAATATATCTAAATTTACTTAAAAGTGTTGAAGTTGATATTTTTTCCCCTATGAATAGCTTTTACAATTATAGGGTTTTTATTTTTAGATAATTGGAAATGATTTTACAATAATAGGTTTGTTTAAATAATTCTCGTTTATTATAATTTAATAGCTACATAATAAATTATTTCTATTTTTCTCTCCAACTTCTTTTATTATACAATATAATAGTACTGCCTCTAATCAACTGAAATGGAAGTAGTGTTATCATAATAATATTTAATTGTAAAAATATTAAATATATTTAAATTTACTTAAAAGTGTTGAAGTTGATTTTTTTTTCTATGAATAGCTTTTACAATTATATTTTTTTTAAATTTTTAAATAATTGGAAATGATTTTACAATTATAGGTTTGTAATAATAATTTTAGTTTATTATAATTCAATTAATAGCTACATAATAAATTATTTCTATTTTTCGCTCCAACTTCGTTTAATATACAATATAATAGTACTGTCTCTAATCAACTGAAAGCGAAGTAGTGTATGAAAATGGATAAATCATTAAAACGGCGTGTCAAAATCTTGAGATGACGTGTGAAAATAGCACTACAGTGTGATTGAATAGAATAATTTATTATTGCCAAACCAACTTCGTGTGAAAACCTATGTGACAAAAATAAACAGTAAACATCATGTTCTCTCTTTTAAGATAAGGAGGGAAAATGGATTCAATCTTGTATGTTACAAAGCTTCTCTAACAGGCTGTTACTTTTTGTTCGAACCTTTTGAACTAGACTATAAAATATTGGCCACACAAAAATGCGCCTCCGCCATTTTTACAAAAAATGGTTTTTTCATTACTGTAATCGAAAAATGACGACTTTTACTAATTTTTTCAATTTTGATCACATCTCAAGTCCACTAGTTAGTTTTGGCTCATATCTTTTTTGGGCGTCTTATTTCGACAGTAAGCTCATATTTATCCTCTCGTTGAAATACATAACTTTTCAATCACACATTTCATCAAATTCTATCAATTGATTTTAATCCCTTATCAAACGGGACTTGGTGTCCAAATAAGTCAACAACCTAGCCAAACACGTAATAGCTAGAGGACGAAAAATTAAAATGTAACCTGTAAAGAAATTACACATTGCATTTGCAGGTAAGAAATCTTTTTTCTTTATTTCATAAAGATGTTTCACCCCTTGAAGCGTTAAATGAAACCGGACCGCACGTCAAAAGCGGGTTCTTGACGGGTCACGAATATAAGCCACAAGGCAAAGCAGCGACGGGAACAAAAGAAGTCGGCGGCGATGTCTGCAACTCTTCTTGAAAAGTGAAAGCTGAATCAGATTCTTCTCACCAAAACCTTTATCGAAAGTTGTACTCTATCAACTTGCAGGTCGTGGAAGAGGAGAAAGGTTCCAGAAATTTAATCCGAAGTGCTCCACAGCCATGGGGAAGAAACAGCACAGCAAAGATCGAATGTTCATAACGAAGACAGAGTGGGCCACCGAGTGGGGCGGCGCAAAATCTAAAGAAACCGGGACCTCCTTCAAACGCCTCCCCTTTTATTGCTGCGCGTATGAACTTCGTCCACCGTCTCCAATCTGCACTTATGTAATTTCGATATTCTTTAAATTAATCTGCTTATTGCTGAATTTTGTTACAGTCTAGCTTTTACGCCATTCGAAGACCCTGTTTGCACAGCTGATGGCACCGTTTTCGATATTATGTAAGTATTTGTGCAGTCAAGTGTTTTGTGTGCTCGTTGGTTATGCTTTGATTGGAATTATGATTGGATTATGAACATTACATTGGTTTCCAAATGTGGTGTTTAGGAATATAATTCCATACATTAGGAAATTTGGGAAGCATCCGGCTACTGGAGCTCCGCTTAAGCAGGAGGACTTGATACCGCTTACTTTTCACAAGAATCCCGAAGGTTATTATTTGTCTCATTTGGAATTTATGAATTCTGATCATTCATTTTTTGAGAATGGAGGTTCAGTTGCTGCATTAGATACGTGCAATGCATTGGTTTATGTCAATGAAATAGAAGCAATTAATTTCTGCAACTGAACTTGAGAAAAGATTAGACGTGAGAGAGTTGAACTTTGAAAAACTGATCTCACTGGAAAAAAAAAGAAATAAAAAAAAAAAGAATCTTTTCAAATGAGCTTATTGCCTTATTTGTTACCTGCCTTACAATTAGATGTACTTTTGAATTCTATCTATTTGAGCAGCTTCTTTAGTAAGAGTTTTAGTGGTGCAAGCAAATATGTGCAGGGTACAGGATTTTTCTGTTAACAGCCAGTATCACTTTACTGCTGAGGGTCATTGCTCAGCAGTTGAAAGATATCTACTTAATGCTGTGATGAATGATTACTGTAAAGTTATGTGTTAAATTAGGCTGCAGGTATTCCACAGGTTGTGATGGATTTTCTTATTTTACATTCTCACCAAGAACGTTCCAAATAAGATATCAATCTTTCTAATATTCCTTAGAATCACTGCTTGGATTATTGCTTAAACGTGTTACCAGTCCATTGCTTTTTTGGCAGTTCATTTGGAACAAGAGCAAACAAGTATTATAGCTCATAGAGTTTGGACAGAGTTTAGGGTCGAAAGGAGTATCAATTATTCTCCTCATGTTAATTTGAGGGTTTTACTTTTTTTGTGATCTAGGAAGTTGAAAAATGAGATTGGATTTCTATAGATGTAATTGTTTTACTTCTTCAACTATGAATATCAGTTGACAACTGAAACACTTCTAGATGCCATATCCATAATTCGAGGAAAATTGCCGTTAGGTTTTAGGTGTTCTATTATTAACTATTTAGTAAGTCCCGTGAAAAATTTCTAGAATTCATAGTCTCATCTTTACTTTGGTATGGGATTCAGTATCCATTTTTCTTAACTTCCCTTTTTTGGTAAACAATCAACATTGGGAAAAAGATCTGAACTGGCTATGCCATTTATGGAACCGAGAGTGCCTCGAAATAATCAATATCTTCAACTCTACTTAAATGCAGATCTACCTTTGGGTGGGTTCAAAAAGTAGAGAGACTTCTGGACTCTGCTTCACCTAAGGATGAAGTTGACCAGCAATATGGAGGATATCTGAGCTAGTGTGGGTACGTTATCCTTCTGGGGGAACAAGGGAAATTCACAAATCCATCTTTTCAGGGTGCAGTTGGCTGGAAAGATGGCTTAGAATATGAATATTTCCTTTATGTTCAACAACAATAATGGGACTAATCACCTTGGTATCACTATGCTGCAATTGGCGTTTAAAAAGATATTGGCCATCTTTAAAAGACATGCAAAACGGAAGTAAAAACAAAGCTTATAAACTGAAAACATGTCACTGTCGGGGGTGGGGGGTATTGTAGACGTAGTAATGAAAGGGGGACTCGTGGGTAGAGTCATTAACCTGAGTTAGGTGGTTTTTAATGCTGTAGGGCGGGGGTGGGGAGGCTGCTGGTTGTGGTACTCTGGCAGCAGAGCAAGGGGGTGACAGTGGTTATAAGTAGATTTGAGCAAGTGGAGATAACTGAAGAAGAAGTGAGGGCGTTGATGATAAGAGCAGTTTGAGGAGGGAGGATTAGAAGAGTCACTCCCACATGTTCTACTTTAATAAAGTCACCTTTAGTTCTAGAAAAATAAAAAACCAAAAGATCCCCGTTTTTATTTATTTATGAAACTAATTTTTAGTTTGTCATTTTCACGTCTTCACAAGTGATTTGATCTTTTCAATAGAATAAGACACCATGAAACTTTTCGTTTCTTTTCTAATTAACTGCAACGGGAAAAATGGCATCATATTATGTTTAAAATTATTTAGAAAGAATCTGCAATGGTTTTCACAATGTTCTATAGGATTGTACATTATAAACCCCAGTTCCATGTCAATTTCACGCCTGAATTGATGTGCTGCAATCTGGAATTGACCGTGGACAAATTGAAAGAAACCATGGGGTTAAGACATCCTGATATGGTTTCAAAGAATAGAATAAACCAAAGATTGTAGGAGTGGGTGTATGTACACCATAACCTTTAATTGACTTGTACTTCACTGCCTTAAACATGATGATGCATGTGATTTCTATTGATATATACAGAATTACTTAAAGTTGGTTTTAAGTGTTTTAAATATACATATTTCCTGTCTCTGTTCACTGATCTTTTTTGGCTATATTTATTGTCACTAATTATGTCACATCCTTGTCTTCATTTTGTAGGAGAGTATCATTGCCCTGTGCTGGACAAGGTTTTCACAGAATTTACACATATAGTTGCTGTGAAAACTACAGGAAATGTGTTCTGTTATGAGGTACGATCCTTGCCTCATTGAAAGTCTTTTGTTACCTTTACCGTTTTCATTTTTTTGTATCTATTTGTACTCATTTGGTCGCTGTTGCTGCATAGGCAATCAAAGAATTGAACCTCAAAACTAAGAACTGGAAGGAGCTTCTCACTGATGAACCATTCACCAGGGAAGACATTATAACCATTCAGGTAGAAATCCACTTCAGCGTATTTATCTTGGCTTGCAGTTTAAATTTTCAATTTTGTTGCACCGTACAATGTTTAAGTCTCTAACATTCCTTCTCTTACCATATAGAATCCCAATGCACTTGATAGCAAGGTTCTCTTGGATTTTGATCATGTCAAAAAAAATTTAAAAGTTGATGATGAAGGTGGGTGGCATTTCATATCCTTAGGGGATGGCTCTATTATGTGTTTTCGCTCAATGATCAATTGTTTGCTTCTTGTTGTCAGAACTAAAGAAAATGGAGTCTGATCACACTTATAACATAAATGTTAGTGGGGATATTAAGCAAATGCTTAAGGAGCTTGGCACTGAAAGAGGAAAGGAGATTGCATTACATGGTGGAGGTGGAAACAAGGCTCAAAATGAAAGAGCTGTTGCTCTTGCTGCCATTTTGGCTGCAAGATCACGTATTAAGGAGGACACAGAATCAAAGAGTGGCGAGAAGCCCAAGCAGGCATTCAGTATAGTAGATGCTGCCTCTGCTGCAGTTCATGGAAGAAGTGCCAATTCTGCGAAGTCTGATTCTAATGATAAAACGGCTGCACGAATAGCCATGCGCATTGCTGGTGAGAGGACAGCTGTAAATGCAAAGCTGGTTAGTATCTCATTTTTTACAATCACGTCCGCCTTTCGGTTTAACGCATAGATCCATGTGCATACTTATTTATAAATCCTTAATGAATGATCAGTGAAGAAGTTAGATAATCAATTTTCGTTTGAAGATTTACTCATAGTATAACGTATCACTTGGACGTATACCGTCCCATGCTTCTCCAACTTATCTATACTGATCTATTTCTGGAGACAGTAGCTGCTGGAGAATCAGATTTATTTTATTTATATATACATTGGAAATAGAGATGGGGTCATTCTGCCAATGACACAAAAACAAAGACCTGAATTGCGTTAAGCGACCTGCTAAGTTTAAAATGTTTAGTTTAACTCTAGTTCTACCATCTGTTGCAAACGAAGGTGGACGACAAGAGTAAGCTTTGTCACACAGAGCTCTAATTGATACTCAAGTTGAAAATAGTCACAATTCAGAACGGAGTACCACCTCCCAGTTTTAGGATTGTGAACCAAGCCTTGACCTTTTAGGAGTGCTATGTAAAAGCAAAGACTCTGTGAATATAAAGAATAAACTGTTTGTAGAACTAGGTGGTTGAATTCCATCTAAATGATTCTTGTCGTGGAAAATGAAAAATTATGACAATGTTGCTATGTCTTTTATTCTTACTAGACGGGATTGACTAGAAGCTCTTTCATATCAATTGACTTAGGGAATTTCTGTTTAGCTGTGAGCCATGGACAATAGACATGTTGAGAATTGGACCCGTGACCTGCTACCTTCTAAAGCGTGCTTCCAAAATTAGAAAAAGGAGAAAAATGTGTTTTGGAATAACACTTTATTAATGGAGCTCTTCATCTGGATTGTGACGTGCGGTGATTTCCTGACCATTGGATTTGATTCTATATCCTTCTTTTTTCTTTTTTGTGTGTGATAGGTAATCAGATAATTTTATAACTTAAAAGGTAATACACGGGGGGTTTACAATCACTCTAAGTCAGTAAGGAACAACATGAAATTAGGCAACCCGTCTACAGGATTTTTAGCCACGGCATTAAACCAAGAATACAATGTAAAGTAAAATATTTCTCTTATCTGGATTCTAGATCCTTCTATCTACTTAACCTTCAGAGTTTTGGGCGGCTATTCACATTATTGAGTGAGAGACTTTTCTTCTAGGGTTTGAAGTCGCCTCAGTCTCTCTCCTTCTCTGCGGGTGAACTCCATTCTCTTCATGAATTTGAGTCCAATATTTAAGTGATTCTTAGAGAAATACTTGAGGGATGATGAAGTATTACTCCATTTACTTGTGTTAGTGCACTGTCTGTCGGTGTATTGTGTGAATCTGCGTGATTCATGTTGAAAGCTTCAATCTCTGTGAGATATTTGGGATCTTGTGTATAGTTCCTTGGTGGAAAGTGATATACTATGAAATAAGCACTCGTGATTCTTGAGAAGGCAGTTTTCAATCATTAGAGAAATCTTTGTGATTCAGTGAGATTCCTTTGTGGAATAGTAGCCGGTTCTATTATTCTTCATGAGATAAGCCTTTGTGACTTATTATTTTGCAATATTCTGGAACATTGTTGTATACTTGTTGCCTGTTTTGGGGCTTTATAGTGCAACCGAGCTTTATCCATTTTAATGGATGCTCAACAGGGGATTAGGCGTTAAAAATGGTCGTTGAACATCTAGGGCTTCGGCCGAAAAATTCATTGTGTTCATTTTACATTTTTTGCACTTTATTTTTCTGTTTATGATGGTGGTTTGGAATCTTGGTTAATAATTAGTATCTCTCAACTTTTCAATACACTATACATACAGTTCCAGAAAAAGTTAAAAGAGATAGGGAAAGTATACCAATTCACATTGTTCGCCTTAAATTTGCTTGATTTTCTCTTTACTGTACATCCTTCGTTATCATTAAAGCACCTTCAACCTTGGCCTGTTCTTCCTTCTAATTTAGAAGTTCATATCCTTGGCAGAAGCCAGGTTTAACTGCAGAGCTCTTTAGAACTCATTATTCTTTTTGAAACTCATGCAGGTTAAAAGTCGTTTCACAACTGGTGCCGCTTCAAGATCTTTTACTTCTACATCCTTCGACCCGGTCACGAAAAATGAGTTTGAATACATAAATGTTGAGAAAAATCCTAAGAAGAAAGGCTATATTCGGCTGCAGACGACCCATGGTGATCTGAACATTGAACTACATTGTGATATTACTCCGAGGACATGTGAAAACTTTATCACTCTTTGTGAACGTGGTTATTATAATGGAGTTGCTTTTCATAGAAACATAAGGTACATGAAAGCTGTTTTACTTCAACATGGCATTTGCAAATTTAATTCTTGATATATCAAAATTTGATAAGCAGGAACTTCATGCTTCAAGGCGACGATCCAACTGGGACTGGGAAAGGAGGCGAGTCCATATGGGGGAAGCCCTTCAAAGATGAATTGAACTCTAAGTTACTTCATTCTGGAAGGGGCGTTGTTAGCATGGCAAACTCTGGTCCCCACACCAACGGCTCTCAATTCTTTGTACTGTACAAATCCGCAAATCATTTAAACTTCAAGCACACAGTTTTTGGTATGGTTGTTGGAGGTTTGACAACACTTTCAGCATTGGAAAAAGTCCCTGTTGATGATGATGATCGACCTTTGGTTAGTAGTCAACTCGTAGCTATCCTTTTTGTCATCTTTAGAGTCCAATATACCGCTATTTTGACTCCATTCTATAAACAGATTAAGTTCGTTCCTTTCTCATATTTTATGAAGACTGAGCCTAAATTCTGGAATTTCTAATCTTTAGTATAATGTGCTTTTTCTCATTATTTTCGGGTGCTTGTGCAGGAAGAGATTAAGATTGTCAATGTAGATGTCTATGTCAATCCGTACACAGAACCAGATGAAGAGGAGGAGAAAGAGAAGGAGAAGGCCAGTAACGAGAAGAATGCTGAGGATGAAGAAAATGTTAGTTTTGGAACTCCTCAACATTGCAATTATTATTTTGTCTTCCTGTAGCTCAGATTATTCCTTTCTCATTCTTAAATTTGTGTGGTTTTTATAACATTTCAGGATAAGATCGGTTCATGGTACAGCAATCCTGTTACAGGAACAACAGGGACTCCCGCTATGGGTGATGGCGTCGGAAAATATTTGAAAACAAGGATTGGGCAGGTATCATCTAGCCCCAGTCTAGACAGTGATATGCCGGCAGGTCCTATAGTAAAGAAAAGAAAGTTAGGCATGCCAACTGGAGAACTCAAAGATTTTTCTGCTTGGTAAGATTTTCAAGTATCCCATATCACTTGCTTAGAGTTTACTGTGACTGGTTTAGCCAAAGAGCGAGTGATATTAGAGGTTAGACCATGAAATTTTAGGCTATACACGTATTGGATTTTACAGCGGGAAACCAACACGAGTTGCCTGTAGTTTCTTCGATCTATAAAATTTTGTACAATTTGGTCGCACCAGGATTTTACAGTTGGCTTTGCAGTGTAAATTAACTTCTATTTCTTTTAATTTTAGAGGTGTATTTTTTTTTTCTTCACCACCCCTCTCCATTAGATGTTTTTATTATCAATGTAAATTATTCTCTCTAGTAGTAAGAGTGAATCCTTATCGGTTAATTGAGATGGATTCAAGTTGCATTGCCATTATGGGGTTGAAAATCCAAAAAAATATCTTGAATTGATTGGTTTTGTCTTTTTATAAGTACGTCATATTTTAATTACATTAACGATCCTTAACCTTTGTTTCTTGTCACATTTATATTCTTAACTTTTTTCATCAATTTCTTACCTTCAATCTTTCATTAACTAGCAAATTTTGTCATTAACCAAGGTTCTATTCCAAAAGTACTCTTAGCATGCTTTAAAACGAGTGATAAATATTTTATATGAATTTTGTACTTTTTGGCTTATTTAATTAGATGGGGAGCAAATAAGTCTTTTTTATTCAATCTTAGCGAAGTATTTGATATAAACCATCATCATCAGGACATTGTGTTAATTTTGAAAATAAGATGGATATAAAAAAGTCAAGTACATAAACATGATGAATAAAGATTATGATTTTTATTTTTATCTTTTTGTGCTTAAAATGTGATACAGTTATTAAAAAAATGAGCTGTGGCTAAATTGGATTGAAAATGTAATTGATTAATAGTCTGTTTGGGAGGGGTTTTTTACCCAAAAAAATTGATTTTTTGACCATTATTTCAATATTCAAGTCGTAATTTTTGACTTCTTCTCCCACAGGTGAACCCCATTATTTTTTTAACGGTCAAAAAATCAATTCTCAAAATCCCTCCCAAAAGTTATTTTCTTTTGTCGTCATTTACCAGTTTCCTTTCCACAACCACTCTGTATATTTCACCGTAGTAATTAGCTCAAGTTTGGATAACGAGGAACAGTAAATGCGTTTTTTTCACGAGGCTCAATTCTTAGCAACAAATTCATCTCTTTGAATTGAAAATTAGAAATATTTTGGTTCCAAGTAAAAATGAATCTTCTAATTTCTTTTTCTTTACAAAATTTTCGATACTTGTGCATTACTTGAAGTGAAAACTGAAAAGCATATGGGCAAGTCTTTCTAAAACTTGGAATTTGTCTTTAATTTTCAATCCCTCGTCCCTTTCTATCTAAGAAGTGAAAGTCATTGCCCGAGTGAGTAAGTGAGACTGGTTTACTAATACGAAAGTTGGAACTTGAACTGAGAAAGGTCCATTTGACATGACTTTTGAGAAGTCGAAAAGAGCTTTTGAACTTATTTAATTAATTTTGTATAATAAATTTTTCTGGTTAGAAGAATATATTTGAGAAGAAGCCACCTTGTCGATCCAATGCTAAATGATGACAGAATTCATTCATCAATCAGTAGATTAACTTTACGTTGCATCAATCAGTCTCTCTTCCATGTATAGAGACCAAAGCCAAAAGCAAAAATGATCAAAAGCGTGGCTATTCAAGATTTAGTGCAGAGGATGGCATCTCGACGAGAACAATCACAAGTGCCGAGGTAATATAATATAACATAAAATCCCCTATTTAATTTTGATAAAAATTATAATTTTAGTAGATTTTAATAAAAGTTAATGAAATATAGAATTTTATAAAATATATAATTAAAAAAAAAATTGAAAACACGAGCAAACAAAGACATAATCTTCACTTGCGTAAAGGCGCTTAAAGAATGTAGTATAATACGACCTTTTTCTATTAAAATATTCAGAAGCTCAGCCAATTAAAATGAGCCACTAGGACTCTCCATACAGGCGCGCTTCACCGTCCACAAATTTCCCACGTATTCAATGAATAATTTAATGGGATAATTACAATGGAGGTCCCAAATCTTTAAAATATTAGTAAACTTTTCTCGAACTTTTAATTTATTATAACCATGAGTCCCAAATCTTTCGAAATGTTGTGACATAGTCCCTTTTGGACGGTTTCCATCCATTTCTCCGCCAGTTGACCAAAAAGTTAAGTTTGAACTTATTTTAATTAATTAAAAAGGGGGCAAATAGTAAATATTTATTAAAATAATTAAATAAAGGGACTGAATAAAAAATTTAAAAATTAAAAGAAAGAGAAAATATCTCATTTTACCCCATCCCAATTCCCTCCAGGGGTAATTGGCGCAAAACATCCTTACCTTTCAGTTTCATTGTGGAAAACGTCCTCACCTTTCATTTTTTGACATTTTTGCCCTCAAATCAACCTTTCGTTGCGATGAAGATCCTTCCGTCCAAGTTCCATCCATTTTACCGTTAATTGAAGAGAGAGAACCAATTTTTGTCTAGTCAGGAGGGGTAAAATCGTCTCACCCATTGAACCCCTTATTCTCGCCTTCTACGTAGTATATATAACAGTAGCTGAAAAATGGGTGTGAAAATACTTTAAATTATTACATTAAATAAGGAAAAAAATGTCGTTAATTAAAGAGCATATATAGTGGTGAAATCCGACCATCACTGCTGCTTTTATGTTGGATTTCTGGAAAAATGTAGTAAGATATACATTGAATGAGTGGTCAATTTATAGAGATGAATGCTAGATGTTTATTTCTAGTTTATGCTTGTTGTGACCACGGGGTAAATTGAGAAGATCGAGTGGAAATGGGTGCTGTAAAATATAAATCGGTTCTATGTATCAGTTCAATGGTGAATGACCCATTTTGGCTTATTGGTGAAGATAAACGGGTCCTGTTCACTTCTTCTGGGAATCGAATAAACATTGCGCTAATAATCTCTACGTAGTTATAATTTTGGCTTAAAATATTCCTACCTATAAAAAGTTTGGCGAGTAAAGTCCCTATCTTTTAGAAATATTTGCTAATAACGTCCCTACCTTTTAGAAATATTTGCGAATAACGTCCATTACTCGTAGAAAAAATTTGGCAAGAGAATTCCCTATTTTCTTCCATATACCACCTGTTGATACACACCAACTGAAAAGTCCCTAAATACAGAATTCTATCACAGAATTTAAGACATAATTCATCCACCAATCAATCGAAAGCTGAAACAAAAATATCCACTACCAGCTGAAGCAAAAATAACCGAAAACTGAATAAAAAATAGATACAATTATTGCTCCATTCTCCTCTCGCCGGACAAACTCCCAACGTGAGCTTCCACTATGTCGACTGCTGGTATGTGACCATACGAGATGAGAATGGAGCAATAATTGTTGAAATGGAAGATAAATGGGAATTTTTTGAAGAACCGAGAGAGAGTAGAATGGGAACTGTCGGGCCGTGAAGTGTGAAGAAAGTAAGAAAATGAGGGTTTTCAATTGGTGAGATAGTTTTACCCCTGTTGAGTGGAAAAAAAATTGGTTCTCTCTCTTTAATTAACGGCAAAATGGATGAAACTTGGACGGAAGGACCTTCATCGCAACGAAAGGTTGATTTGAGGGCAAAAATGCCAAAAATAAAAGGTGGGAACGTTTTCCACAATTAAGCTGAAAGGTAGGGACGTTTTACGCTAATTACCCTTCCCTCCACCCCATGCATCCCAACATTCAACCACAAAAGTCACTCCAAACCAAGAATCACCCGACCCATGAAAATCGTCGAAGCCAACCCCCATCGGAGATAAATAAATTTTTGGAAAAGGTAAGTGGTTGAAAACTTTGGAGAAATATAGTAAGGATTTTTGCTTCATCTATGATTGATTTCTACATAACAAATTGCCATCTACCATTTCTTGAGGGAGTAATTCTTGTTTGGATTATGGTTTGAAGGGGGTTAAAATTGCTATGGCTTCTTATTGTTCAGAATTCCAATTCTTGGAAATCTAGTCTTCGACCTACCCATTGATGCAAAAACTCAAACAAGTCCTCGTTGAGCATGCATTGAAAAAATGGTGAGACAGAAAAGAGATGAAGTGCGGCAAAAGTGATCGATAATGCCTATCGACTGAGACAGGTAGACGGTGGCAATGGTTTAAGGGAGGTTGAAGATCTGCAGTTTTTATTTTCTTATTTTTTACTTTTTTTAATTTAATTTTTAACTTATTTAAATGTAGTAAATGGAAAAAACCTATTTTATCCTTTTAAAAATTTTAAAAATATGGTCAAAATCAAATTTCTTAGTCAATTAACAGATATTTGGAGGAAAACTGTCCAAAAGGGCTTTCTCCGCAATGTTTCGAAAGGTTTAGGGTAACAATTGCAATAAATTAAATATTTGAAAAAAGTCTGCTAATATTTTAAAGGTTTGTAAGTCTCTGCTGCAATTATTCCTAATTAAATATTAAATTAGTAATGTTATTTGTACAAACTAAGTTGACAAATTTGGTTTACAAACTATATATTGCCAATATTTGGATCAATTATTTCAAAAATAATTTTTCAAATCAATGGTCTAAATTTTGCCAATACTTAATTTGTAAACTAACTTTATAAACAAACTTTGTACAAATAAATATTAATTTATATTAAAATTAAATACACCGAAATCTGCCTGGCCAATGGCCAATAACGTAGATTTTGTCGTATTCCGGGGACAATAATGACATTTCAAAATTGTCGCCTACGGTAATCAAATTGTCTTTTCCGGTCTAATTCCTGTACACACAATCACAAACGCCTTTATTTACCTACCTTCGATAATCATCAATCGATGCACAGTAGCGAGTGACGAGAAGACGAATTTTCTTTTTGAAAAAGGTCATTGAGAGAAGACAGAGGAGATCTGTCTCATTTTCGAGTCAGGAATGGGTCTCTGGGAAGCTTTTCTCAATTGGCTTAGAAGGTATGTATTTTATAAGCTTATGTATTTTCGATTGGATTTTGGGTTCGAATTTGTGCATTTATGTTAGCTCCTGGATCTAGTTTATGCGGTTGTTTGGTGGTTTTCCGATGTGTTATTGTTTTCTTGAAATTATGCCTTAAATGTTAAATTGTTGTGCAGATTGAAAATTTTGTATCTTTATGTTTTGTCTTCTACTCTGTTGGAATTATTGTTATGTTCGTATGGAAATTCGTGTAGATTACCCTATTCAAAGTCAATGCTGGAATACAATTATTAAAATTAGAAACGAAAGTTTAGGATTATTTTGTTTGATAGGCTGGTAAGGAAGTCGGTTTTGTTTTGTTGGAATATATAATCATCCAATTTACCCGATTATTATCATTGTTAGCTGAATTTGTGTCACTGTAAACCGTATACCTTTAGTAATTCATTTTCTTTAATCTTGTTTCAGATATAATCATAATTTTATTTGGTGTTCATGGCCAAACTTCTCACCATTTTATTGCTTCTTATTGGTTAACTTTTTTTTCTCAATGACAAGCCCCAAATTCACATTTCTTATTCTAGGTTATGATCATCTATCACAGGGTAATTTCTGGTACCCTTGTTTTTAGGTCACGGTTTTGCTTTCGGCAATAGCAAGTTTAGTGGTCCTCCAAAGGGACCTTTCAATTATTGTGCACAACGCTCAATACTTTTTATTTTTTGGCATTTTTACTATTATTTTCACCTTCACTTGTCAAAAAGTCCTTCCATCCACTTACTGTCAGTATCTCAATTAAATGAATAAAAAATGCCAATTCTCTTTTTGAAAAGGAAGGTTAATATAGTCTTCCAAAAATTTAATTCTGAATTCTTAATCTGATTGCTGCTAAAAGTGTACATGAAAAAGGAAAAATACATCAGAAATAATCTCAAACTAATTAATCAGTGAGAATATAATCTTGGAATTGAATAGGTATGCACGCATTTGTTACAACAATAAGGATTGTAAATGAAAATGAAAACTATCCCATTGTTTTATATAGGCCTTCTTTAACTAGTTCTATCCCTTAAGTGTATTAGTATTTAGGCATACAATGGTGTAGGGAAATTTTGAATAATCTGCGGAATAATTAAGTTGAGGGCTAATTGAAACCTTCCCTTCGCCTTTTGGCAAAAAAAGAATCAAGCTTGAAATTGGGGCAATGCACGCTGGAATTGAGGGAATGCACCCTATACCATAAATGGGTGGGTCGCCGCCGAGGTCTCTCAAAAATTGAGGAACCATGTTGCTCATGGATTATGATGTATACCTGTAAAACAACACTGAATACCATGTAAACTCATCAAAAACTCTCAATATCTCAAAACACTACAATATGAACCCACCACACAAAAAAAAAAAAAAAAAAAACCCTTTGCTCTCATTAATACCATTCTCTACGTTCTTCCACTATGCGGTGAGGAGAGGAGAGGAGAGGAGAGGAAGAGGGAGGAATGCGCAATAAAATGGAAGAAATTGAAAATTTTGAAGTGGAATTAGCAAGGTAACTGTCTGTCTAATAGAAGAGAATGGGGAAGTCAGAAATTTTTTTTTGGGAAGACTACGTTACCCTTCCTTTTTAAAAAGAAAATTGGCCTTTTTTTATACAGTTAACGGAGATAATGACGGTAAGTGGATGGAAGGACTTTTTGGCAGACAAAGATGGAAATAAGGTTGAAGATGTCAAAAAATGAAAGGTAGAGACGTTTTGCACAATAACATTGAAGTGTAGGGATGTTTTGTGCTAACTACCCTTTAATATACTCAAGTACCGTGCATAGTTCTTGTTTCCTTTTACTGGCTAAGTTTGTTATATGAATTTTTATAACTCTGTTATCAATCAGAAGTACCGAAGTTCTGAGTATATTAAATGGAAGTATTTTAGTGCAACTTGATTAACAAGTTCATCTACCATATTACTTGGAAATAATTGAGTATAAAATGCGCCAAGGGTAAAATATTTGCGCTTATTTCTTTCCATACCCAGGGGATGAATAATATAAAGGGTTGTGACATACGAACGCCATTTGTATGTATTTCTCCACAAAATATACTTCCATGATTGCATCACTGGCGATGCTACTATTCCCTGGAAGCTAAGCAAAATATCAAACCAAACTCATGTATTTAACCTTTATTTACGCTGAAGCTTCAAATGGAAATAAAATCAAGCTTCACTTGATTTCTGGTTATTAATTTATTTTGCTAATTTTTATCTCAAAACCGGGGAAAATAATGTGGATTGAGACTGAAGACTGTCATATTGACATATTTATCTTCCTAGCTTATTGCATAGGGATTGCCCATCTACCCTCAGATGCCAATCTTATGCTTGATGCATCATTTTTGACTTGTTCAAAAGAGCAAAACTCTATGCGTTCAATTGTCTTCAACTTCTGAAGTAATTGATGGGTATATGTTTATCTCGTCTTGCAAGTGGTTGTTATGGTTCTTAGTTGACAACAGTCTCATTTGTCTCGCTTCAAATTTTTTTTACTGTATGCAATTCCAGCAAAGACGACGGAATGAATAGCAGTTGGAAGTTTATTATCTTACACGCCGGGCTTAATGAAAATACTAGTGATTTTTTGTTGTCTATTTATTATTGTCAATTAATGTTTCTGACACAAGCGGTGCTTTAAGTTCAAGGAATTTGTGGTTCATACAAGCATTCATGACCAAATATATCTCAGTTAACTCTACTGTTTCCTTGTTAAATGAAAATTTTCAAATTGATGGGCTTGCACGATTGTTTATATGGTACAGCCTTTTCTTCAAGCAAGAAATGGAGCTTTCTTTGATTGGTCTTCAAAATGCTGGGAAAACCTCACTTGTAAATGTTGTCGCTGTAAGCATGCAATACTTTATTCATCATCTTTTCATGTCTCTTTTGATAACTATTTGCTTAACCTTTATCGTGAGTTGGTCAAACATTGCGTTTACATTTTTGTTTGTTTTTATTAGACCGGTGGATATAGTGAAGACATGATTCCTACGGTTAGCTTTCTTATTTCCCTGCTACTTTAGATCTTGCTAATCATCGATTACATATTTAGATATTTTTGAGAGATTTGTTTTCATCCTTCAGGTAGGATTTAATATGCGGAAGGTCACCAAAGGGAATGTCACAATAAAGTTGTGGGATCTTGGAGGTCAACCCAGATTCCGGAGCATGTGGGAACGTTATTGTCGTGCAGTTTCTGCAATTGTGTATGCAACTAACTCCAGCTTACATGGCTTAGATTTGTGTTTTCTTTCGGCTTTCTGTTCGTAGTTTGAATGACATAACTAATGTATGCTTATAAACCCCCCCCCCCCCCCCCCCCCCCCCCCCCCCCCCCCCCCCTCTCCTCTCTTTTTTCTTGGTTTTTTTTTTTTCTCAGATCTTTGATGAGATTTTCGATGAGTTCTCTATTTCCACCAAATGTGCATCTTGTTCATATTCAAGATTCTCTACCGTGCATGTCATGTGGACGATCTATTAATCATGCTTCATCATTCATGAAACATGTACTTCATCTGAATTAAGTTTTAGGTCAAGACAGTACACCCAGGAGTACAACGATTCCTCCTTATTAAGAATTCATCTATATTTCGCATTCAAATCGAATTATTCTAGTTATACACGGTCAAGTCTAAAATTTAATGTGTGATAATTTTCTCAAGACTTATGTCATTTGATTTGATACAGTTACGTTGTTGACGCTGCTGATCATGACAACGTCAGCATCTCAAAAAGTGAACTCCATGATCTGCTGAGCAAACCATCACTCAGTGGTATTCCTTTACTGGTATTAGGAAACAAGATCGACAAGCCTCAAGCTCTATCTAAGCAGGCTTTGACTGATCAAATGTAAGTGGAGACGTCTACACTCATTTGTTGCTCTCTCCTATTCGTCACTCCCTGCTTACAGACCCTAGTGTGCTGTGTCTATGATCGCATTTGGCTAAGCCTAAAAAAGAAACAAAATAGCTTTTCTTGAGAAGGAAAATCAAGCTTTTGAAGAAGCCGACTTTGGCTATAAACTAAAAAAAAGAAACCAGCATTGTAAAATTAATCCTAACATGTTTGGGAAAATGCTGCTTAATAGAACTTTTGAGACTGCAAAAATGTTTGGCTAAATTTTCGAAGTTACTATTAAGCGAAATTACGTTTATTTTAGGCTTAGCCAAACATGCTCTATGTTGTCGTGCATTTTTCATTTCTAGTGTATGCATGTGACTGGTTTTTCTTTCTGTGGCTTCATTTGGTAATTAGACATGGCATTGTGTTGTGTAGGGATTTAAAATCTATCAGTGATAGAGAGGTCTGCTGCTTTATGATCTCGTGCAAGAACTCGACAAACATCGACCAGGTCATTGACTGGCTAGTAAAGCATTCAAAATCGAAGAGTTAAGGATAAGTCTATGGACTCATAACATGTTTCAAAAAAAGCACTTAAGAGACAATTTTCCAGCTGGTTGATGATGTCATTATGGCTGATTTATTTTGTGCTTCGCTCAAAAAGTTGGTTGTGTATTGTAAATTAACTTATATCTGTTTAAGGTTTAACGACAATTGACTTTTGCGTGTTGGTTTGTTAATAGTATCCTTTTTTCCATTCTAATCAGGGCTAATCCAATGCTTAGAAGTCTCCCTTCCCACGCTTTTTGTAATCGGTGTTTAGAGGTTTAGATTAGGTTTAGCTCATGAGCATCATCAATATTATAAGAAACATATCTCGTGGAGTACGTAGGGTTGTCTAGCGTTGAATAATCTATCAATTGTTGATTTGAGGATGGAGGGTACAAGTTGTTTGAGATGAAATAACATCAAAAGAGATGTTGTTCTGATCGCATGAAACGTAATTTTGAAAAAAAAAAAAAAAAAAAATTTGAATTATTCAAATCCAAGAAATTCAAGAATCAACATTTAGAGTTTAATCCAAAAATATTGAACCAAGAAACCAACACAATTCTCGACAACATGTTGACTTCTTAATCACTAGATTCAAGAATCTCCCCCGGATTGTTTAAATGCTACAAAGAATAATTCTTGATAAATTTAAAATTTGGTTTATTGAAGAACAAATAAATTAAAAGCAAAAATTGCTCACAAATAATAGCTCAATTGTATGAATGAATGTTGTTTACAATCTAATAATGAGTCCTATTTATAAGAAACCCATAAAAGTAAGATTCACCGTGTGCTAGCTCGAAAATGAATTCAACTTCAACATATACAAGTACTACAAATCTCGAACTCGAAGAGAAATGGCATATAACTTTTACCAATTGAAGTTAATAGAATATATATCTACGTTCGAGGCATAGCATAGCTCAAAAGTGATAAAAGAAATGCTTTAAATTTGGCAAGTTACTTCATCGAAGAACGAATGTGTCTGATGGCTTTTCAATATATTCATTTGTATTAATTGGAAAGATCAACAAAGCATACCGTGCTACGAAAAGTGACAATGGTGTATTGAACAAATGTATAATTTGGTGGTATGGATCTATTTATTTCCATTACATAGGTTTTATATTTTTTAAATTCTCTCTCCAATAACAAAGTTACAAAACATGCTTCTTATTTTGCTCTTGTATGAGCTTCATTCTTTGGGGGAAAAAAAAAAGAATTCTTAAACATGTTTTCGCATCATTTCAATTATACACTCTTCCATAAAATTAGATTATAAATAAATTAAATTTTTTTTTATTTTTTAATAATATATTTTTCATCAATATAATATTCAAAAATACATTTTTCCTTTAAAATAGAGCTCAAACAAAAGCTTTATCTCCTCCAAAAACAATGTCATTCAATACCACTAACGTTTAACATCCATCCAGACGACATCACTTACTCAATTAAATACAAAAATTCACGACTCATGTTGATGTTCAACACCATCTTCAAATATCTTCTTCATCTTGCTATCTTTTTCTAATTTTCTTTTAAAAAATATATCTTCACAGTCCAAAATCCACCTCTGTTTCTCTCAGCCATGGAAGCCGCAACTGGACCTTCGAGCCTCCCCACTCCGCCACCACAATCGAACCTTGAGAAATTCAAACAAAATCTCCTGAGAAATGGCATCCAACCAACCCCAAGAATCCTCCACAATCTCCGTAAAAAAGAGCTTCAAAAATCCAACCGCCGTCTTGCCAAGCAAACCTCCAAACAGCCGCCACCCCTCACAGATACTCAAAAACTGGCCATTTCAGAAGAATCCTATTTTCAAACTGTAAAGTGTGAATATAAAAGATTCACCAAGGCTATAAAAAATATCAAACTTGAGGACAAGAAAATGGTGGGGAGGCCTTGGGAGAGTCTGGAGAGGCTTCAATTGAGAGAGCTTGCAAGTGAAAACACGGAATATAGTGGAGAGAAGTTGAGGCCTGAACATTTAAGAGAGCTGAGTGATATAATTGAGGAGGATAGGGATAAATTTTCTTGGCTTTTAGATAACGATATTGAATTTGCAGAAGAAAGGTTTGAGAACGAACAGAAGTGGGTCCCACCGAAGCGGAGAGGCGAAGCTGAAACCATTAAGTTTCTTGTGGATAGGTATTCTTAATTGTTCATGTATATGTGTGGTCTCTTTGTATTTCTCTAATTATTATTGTAACTTTGATTGTATGTGAAATTGTGTTGTTGAAGATTAAGTGGAACAGAGCTTAGTGTGAGGGATTGGAAGTTTTCGAGGATGATGAGACAATCTGAATTGCAGTTTACTGAAGGGCAAATGTTAAAGATTGTAGCAGGGCTTGGGAGTAGAGGGCAATGGATGCATGCTTTGTCTGTTGTGGAGTGGGTGTACAGTTCAAAGGAGCATCGATGCTACAAGAGCAGGTAATATATTCAGGTTTAGTACGTAGTACTGGACTTGTTATGTTTTCTCTTCCGTAGTAATGCTCATTACAAAGTCGAGTCCATCTGATCATATGTGTCATTGTTGTTGAAGGTAATTGCTTGGATGCCACTATCTATGATGAGTACCAACTCCAGTTTTTTGTATTGTGTTTATGTATTTGTTTGTTCGTTTTAGGTTTGTATACACAAAACTGTTGGCAATACTTGGGAAAGCGAGGAAGCCTACTGAAGCTCTTCAAGTATTCAATTTGATGCGAGTAATAATTCCATCTGAATTTTGTGCTTTCAATGTTAAGGTCTCTCCTTATATATTGTTGGATGAAAGTTTAATCCTAAATCGTGCATAGGGAGATGCACACATATATCCTGATATGGCTGCATATCATAGTTTGGCTGTCACACTGGGCCAAGCTGGTTTTCTGAAGGAGTTGGTGAATGTTATTGAATTCATGAAGGAAAAACCAAAGAAGATAAAAAATGTGAAATACAAGAATTGGGATCCTGTCCTTCAACCGGATGTTGTTGTATTTAATGCTGTGAGAAAGTTCTGCAGTTTTCTTTGATTTCTCATACTTTGTTTGTCAGTTTGATTTTCTTGATAACTTTTTAATGGTTCTTTAGGTTCTAAATGCATGTGTTCCTACCTGTCAATGGAAAGGAGTATCTTGGGTTTTTGAACAGTTGAGAAAGAATGGTCTTAGACCTAATGGAGCAACCTATGGGCTTGCAATGGAGGTAAATTTTTATGAAAATCAAGTAACGTGATATGTTTATATACAGAAATTATGTAGCAAATCAGTTTAATGTGGATCTGATGCAAATGATGTCTGAGTGAAGAGTAAATTCTGCTGAGCATAAAATTGTCATAGTTATTGTCACAGGGATAGACTGGTGTTGATTAAGTACTGATGTTTTTAGTTTAGAGCTTGTTTGGAAAAAATCATGTAGAGGAGTAATGGGTCCCACAAATGTGTGGATAATAAGTGGGTAGTAGTTGTGAATGCGCCGTTAAATTTAGTGTTTGACTTTAAATTAAAAGGAGATTGTAATGAAACCCAATTAAAGTTTTATTTTCTCTTTTCTTTCTTTTGACCTTTTTCATTAATTTGACAGAATATGTCAAGGTTTTAAATGGAATGCTGCGATTAGTTTATTTTTAGTCTAAGCATAATTGTATTTGAGCCTCACTAGAGTTGCTTTTGAAAGGTGATGCTGCAATCTGGAAAATATGACCTTGTCCATGAATTTTACGGGAAAATGAGAAGAAGTGGGGAAGCTCTTAAAGCCCTAACATACAGAGGTACTCCTATTTTCATCCCGCCCCTGTCTAACAAGTGCTCTGTTGTGGTTGCTTACTCTTATCTGCATCTGCCTAGTTCTCGTCAAAGCCTTCTGGGAAGAAGGTGAAGTCGATGAAGCGGTTAGAGCTGTCAGGGATATGGAACGAAGGGGAGTGGTAGGAACAGCAAGTGTATACTATGAGCTCGCTTGCTGCCTTTGCTACTATGGGAGGCGGCAAGAAGCTATTTTGGAGGTTAGCATTATATACTTGTCTCTGGACTTATAATTTAGACTGTACATATTGACTTGGATTCCAATAGTAAAGCAAAACGTGAATGGGTGGTAGTTTGACAGAAAATATAGTTGACGAGGAACTAAATGGCCTGATATGATCCAGATAATCAGTCCATACAGTAGGGATATATCCTAGTCGAGGTGAAATCAACTATATTGTTATATATATCACAGATAAAGTCGTGGATTTATTTGAGAAGGGTTAAATTTTGCTTTGACTACATTTCTCTGTCTGAGTTGACTTGATTTCACTAGGGCGTAGATAATCAACATTTTATTATTGAGAGAACATTCAGATGTTCTCTATAACAATGCAAGTTAACGTCGCCTTTAAATTTTCTGTCATGTTTGTCGTAGAAATCATAATCATGATCAATCAATCAAAGCATTTCCAACTCAAGGCAATTTTGAATAACATGGCGAAATGAAACTAAAAAAGTATTAAAATAACTTCTAGTAAGAAATCATTTATATTTCTAAAGTTTTTTTTGTAGTAATTGATACTGCAAGACCTTATAATACCTACTTTTGGACGGTGACATTAACTTGTGATAGTAAAATCTACGAAGTTCTATTTTCCTTCAAAAGGAAGGGGCAGGGGCATTCTTCGAACTTCCCTCTGTTTTCGTTGTTCACTTCCCCATTTTATACGTTAAGTTGCATGTATGTATCATTGTATTGTATCTGGAGGCTTTTACTATAGTAAAGTGGAAAATTGATTCTTGTGAAACATTCCTGCAGATTGAGAAGCTTAGAAAGCTTCGTCAGACGAGACCTTTGGTGGTAACCTTCACTGGCATGATATTATCATCCATGAATGGTGGGCATGTTAGTGATTGTGTATCCATATTTGAGCACTGCAGAACCCTTGTGGCTCCAGACATTGGTATCATAAATGCTATGCTGAAAGTTTATGGTCAGAACGACATGTTTCTTAAAGCTAAAGAATTATTTGAAGAGACCAAGAAACATGATTCAGTTTCTGAAATTAACGAAAATGGTCATCGTTCATCCCCAAAGCCAGATGCATATACTTTCAGTTCAATGCTTGAGGCATCTGCTAGCGCGCTTCAGTGGGAGTACTTTGAATATGTGTACAAGGAGATGATCCTTTCCGGTTATCAACTTTTCCGTAGTAAACATGATAAGCTATTAGTGCAAGCCTCCCGAGCAGGAAAGGTAAAATCCCTCAGATTCGCCGTTTTACTAAAACCAGTTACTCCATGTTATTATTAGTTGTTCGAATTAAGTTGAAAGTTCAAAAATTCTTCTCTTTTTCGATGCAGTGGCATTTACTGGAACATGCTTTTGACATGATTTTAGAAGCTGGTGAAATACCTCCGTTGTCATTCTTCTTGGAAATGGTCTGTCAAGCCACCTCTCAACAGGACTACAAAAGGGCTGTCAGAATTATCAACACAACGGCTCATGCACCATATATAGTTGGAGAACAACAATGGATTGAGTTCTTTGAGATGAACGAAGGCAGGATTACTCGGGATTATTTAAAAGAATTATTGGACATGCTTATGAGTCGTGATTTAGTTAAAGAATCAACTGTCTTAAGTTTGTCGAGAGCATTGCAAGTTCTCTGTGGATCATGCGATGCTAAAGAGTCATCGATAGGTTCTGGTTTCAACACCCATAGGATTCTTCCAGTGGTCGAAGATGACGGTGTAAGCATGGCATGTAACGACACAGTAAGGGAAGAAAATGGTCGACAGATGGTGTCTGGATCTTCTAACATCAGTCGTGAAAAAGATGGGGCAGCTAGACTGACCGGACTCATTGAAAACTCTGACTGTGATTTGGGATCTAGCACTACAGTATCTTTTTATGTTCAGAGAGAGGCTGATGGTGTCGAATATGGATTCTTGGATAATGAGTTTGATAAGTTGGATTTCAATCCAGATATTTGATCCGATGAAAGCGATGATTCACAAGATGAAGGCATCCCTTCTGCCCATGAAATACTGGAGACTTGGAAGGAAATGAAAAAGAGAAATGCATCTTTCTAAAAAGTATATAATTGTGTTCAAAATTTTGGAACTTACAAAATCAAGAAATAGATATTATGTTCGCGGGAGTAAGCAATGTTCTAAAAGGTGAAAAAGATAACCCGGTCACAAGGCAATTCCAAGGCAGAACTCAAAGCATTGCACGTTGATCCAAAACTCATTTCATCAGCTGACTAAAGCAAAAAATCAACTTCTGGTACAAATATATAAATATTATCAATAAAACCTTCAGGCTTGTAACTTGGGACTTCTAGAAGAGGAGGAAGAACATGACTGCACTTAAGGCAAAATTGGACCCAAAGACTAGCACCAGACAGAATTGAAAACCAATATTTAGCACCATCTATAATGCAGTTTAAATCTGAAATTCTTAATTTCTTAATGGTTTTCAAGCTACTCTCCTTTTGAGTTCAGTTCAAAACTAAGACCAATATAATTCAGAAACTGTTCCATGGACAAAATTCCCGATTTTACATGACTATCCATATCTACATCATTTAGATTTGCTTGCAAACGATTAGCCAGTGCACTGCCAAGATCCAGGGACGCAATGAGAGGTGGTGGCCATCTGCAGCTCTGCATACATGTAAAATGATATCATGAGAGAGACGGGGTAATTTGCAAATTCAGACAATTTGCTTTGTTAAAATTCCAAAAACGGCCATCTACAAACTCTAAAAGCTTCAGAAAATTTTCTCGGAAATGCTAGCGGTACATAACAGGAAAAAGAAGGAATCAAGCAAAGGGCTAAAACTAGTAAAACATTATCAGAACACGGGGTGGTCAGAGATCCGGTAAAAGATGAGCAATTGATCATCTGCAATCTGGACTGGATGCAAAATGGATCCAAAAGTCATGCTCATAATGGTTAAGCACTAGTGCAGTAAGAGGTACCATCTGCAGATTCTCGAAACTCAAGGATTGACTTTACCAGCATCGGATAGTATTGCATTTCAATGCCTTCATAGCAGCCTCAGCAAAACACTGAGCAGCTTCTGCCTCAGCTTCCGCCTCTTCTGCTTCCCTTGCTGCTGCCTCAGCCTCTGCAATTGCAGCTTCTGCCTCTGCGACTGCTTGTGCAGCAGCTGCAGCTGCCTCTTGTGCTGTCATGCTCTTCATCTGCTCTAGCTCAGCATCAACTTCGGCTTTAGTAAGAATTCTGATAACTTTGGCCGGATTATTCTTTGTTCCATCTGGAAGAAACATGGAACCAACTTTCCCTGCATCAGAAGACATTGAACTTGGTGCAATCCTGTACTGATGCTTCACCTGTCAATTCAAACGCTACAATTATAACATCATACGAAAATCTGCCAAACCCATATGCAGTGAAAAGCCAACTTTTGTGCTTGTTCCTAATTTTCCCAACTTCGAGCGAACAAACTATTTCAGGAAGGCATCACAACAGCACAAGGAAAACGAGATAACTTTTTCAGCAGTTCAATGCATTCAACAAGACAGTTGAATTCCTTCTCACTAGCTCAACTGTGTTGTCAAGTTAACCAGAAATATGAACACGGTTATCCACGTAAGGTTTCCAACAACTTGACAAAACAAGGGAGCATCCAGAGGTAGTATATTAAAGACAAAAAATTATCAACTGAAACTCTAGGCAACAGATCCAGGAATTTATCATTTCATTGTTTTGATGCCAACACTAGTGTCCTCAAAAGGCACCCCCATAGCTTGATATAGGAAATAGCTAGCAACTAAGCAAGGCAGTAACTTGAATTGATATTGAATTCAAAATTTTAAAGAAAATATAAGCATAAAAAACAATCTTTAGCTCTATTTACATCAGGGTCCAGGGTTATGTTACATCATCAAATTGTAGCTTCATTTATCAACAATAAAATTACCAAAGCCTACATATGCAGCTTAGATTGTAAGGGTGTGCATTCATGAGTGCGCACAATGATACACAACACGCAGAGAATCGTGGTGGATATTCAACTCAAGACTAGAGAAGTAAGAAGCCCCTCAATTATAAATGCTAAGTAGCAGGTAGCTGATGATGATTGTGGCACCTGGGTATCTAAGACAACCCAATATCATGTATGGCGCCTGATTTTTCCCTAATATAGGCTAGCAAAAGACGGAATATATAATCAAAGCATGTTTATGTTTCAAGAAACTTATCAAAGGGGTAGAAAAATAATTTAACAGCCTTTTGGTTCTGACAATATGCATGTTGTAAACCAAAAATGGATATTACCACTGGAGTACCTTAATTAGTCGTCCATTGTCTGTCAAATGCTTCAAATTTGTAGTTAATATCCTTTCGAAGTCTTGAGGTACTGAGTGTTGCTCCTAACAAATGAAAAGTAAGATCAGAAGTTGAGAGTGCTAAGCTGACAACAAGTGAAAGAGAACACAGAAGATAACTCTGAATTGGGCATGAATATCCACTGGTTTCCAGTTAAGCTTACATGGCAGTGTTTTAAGAGATGTTTAACATAAAAATATTGTCAATTGACTGGAAAATCTAGCTTATACAGTGACATCAGTGTCTGCCACTTAAGGCTGAAGGCAATTTAAGCTACATTTACTATCAACATTTATTATGGTAAGTAGAAATCACCTCTATGTACTGTGCAATTGCAAGCCGACTAGATCCGCGAGGTTCCTTCAGCTTACTTACGGCCTCCAATATAAGATCATCAAGCCTACATTCATGAAAGTGAGTGCCAAAATACCCATCAACAAAAACATGTAGAACAAATGGTATTATTTCCAGAATTGAATCATTGATAGAGACATTTCATTCCAAACTAAAAGGTTATAAATTACGATGATGGGCATTTCATACAATTTCGTTCCCAGATCAGAAATCATTTTTTAACACAACCTCGGTCGAACTCCATTCATAGTGATTGATGAAAAGACAGTGATCATGTCCCACTGCCAAATCTTGAGTGCATATAATGACAAACCCAACAACCCTCCAGTGCCTCTCCCACCAGAATGCCTAGTCCGAGAAAGAGGATATGTATATGTATCTTTCTTTGAACCAAGCCGACACACTAAGCCTCTGTTTGTCTCATGATCATAAACACTCGGTTCATTTTTTATTCAAACATTTCAAAGGACTCATAAGTATTACCCACTTTTCCCCCACCACTCTTTTTTATCTATATATAATAAAAATTATTTATAAACTCTTCCCAAACATGCTGTAAATGACTTATACAAGTTTTTAGTCCAATATATATCACAATTACAGTAACATGGGAGCACTTATAGTACTTTCAGTATATCACCACAACTAATTGGCATTGATTGACAAGTTCCTCCGTGATTAATCAGTGGAGTCAACTGTTCTTGTGAGTACTGAACTTTAAAAGGTAGAACAGGCCCATTGTCAATTCAATTTGGCCAACAGAGTTAAGGATGTAAAAGGGACATCAAATGAAGCCATTCAACCTTGAAATTTGCTTTTGGGAACCATCATCCCGTGGTGTTTCAATAGATGAGGAAAGAGGCATCACATCAAGCATTTCTAAATCATTCTCAGCCGCTGCACTAGGAACAATGGGGTCTTTAGCAATCTTGGGAGTCACTTGATTGCTTTTGTATGAAAGCTTTGCTCTATGCCGAGACCCAAAACCAGTTGCCATGCAATTCAAATTTCTCCATTTATCCTGTTTAAACAACAAAATAATCAAGTACCGACATGAGCAAAAATGTGCATATCCGACTAAAACCATCAGTGTCATTTCACAATACATAAATTTTCACTTAATTGAAATATGAATACTCCAACAAAGACAGATTTTCCTTCAAAATCATAGTAAAATTGATAAAGCCTAATTTGCCATACCTTAAGATCCACATTTGAACGTGATCGCAAAACTATGCTAAATTCTTGATCTTTGAGTATGGTACTCCATTTTCCTACTCCATGCTTGGCAATGCCAGCTTTAAGAGCAGCTTCTTCTTCAGATGTCCACTTTTGCTTAGGAGCACCCATTATCGCGAATCTTGAGACCTTTGTACAAAAAATAAATTGCTCTCAATTCTAGCATCTGAAAATACAAAGAGGTCTGCTTCAAGATCTGGTTCACAACACAAAGAGACCCACGAGCCCCAAAAACCATGCAAGAAATAAGAAATAAATACTTGGTTAGCCTTTAGGAGCTAAAAAAATGGATACAATTGTTGTCTTTCAAATCAAATATGATGTCTCTCCCTTTTTTGTATGACTTCTGAAGTAGTCAGGGCTAATAATTCTTATAAACTGAATTACTGGTCAATCAGAACTTCACTATAATATGGCAACTAGAAAACCTCGGTGGCTCAATGAATTACAAACTCTTTCAACCTTGAGTGACTCGCACATTAACCTCAAAGATCAAAATGACAAGCACCAAAAGCTCAAAATCTCTGGTAGCTTATCTACAACATATCCCAGTGACATGTTACCTTTATTACGTACATTTCTACATATCAAACTTATAAATACATGAAATAAATCATCAACATAGAGATTCCACGGGGAGAAACACTTCAGTCTACAGCTACACTAAACAAATTGAGCAAGTTTTATATCAAGAGAATTGAAACACAGTTCCAACTTCAATGTAAGGCATAACTCAATCCCTGTCCATAAAATAATGGAAATGAAAAAGTGAAACCACTAAATTCATCCAGACTAGGCACCGAAAATTAACTGTGAAAAAGTTTAAGCCAGTATATTCAGTAATATTATTAAACCAGGCACCTATTTTTTCGATTTTTTTCTTTTAAGGAAACTAAAATTGGTGTTTCATGTTATTAAGGATTTTTTTTTTTTTTCACTGCGCTCTGCTTTTTCCCAACCTATTTTAACTGGGCTCTACTTTTCCCAACCTACTTTCATAATCAAAATCAAATTGCAAATAAATAAACCCTTGTGGAAACGAAATTCAACATTTAAAACCACATTGGGAATGTTCTATTTCATAAAATAAAATTTAAAGGAAGGAATCAAACAATTCAAATAATGAATTTCAAATTCCAGTACCAATTTATAGGCGTACATGAATGTTTGAAGTACCCTACCAAAATGGGGACAAAGTATGTGCGAGAGAAATCAAGAAGTTGTCCGCGCTATGACCAATTCTAGCCCATTTTTTCATTTACCACAGAAGAATATGACGAAACCCTAGAAGTAGTAGGAGTCAGAGGAGGACAGAGTACGTACAACTGGAGTGATTTTTTCTTTTTTTTCTGCAATTTTGTCACCTTTTTTATTTGTTTTGTGTACAACCCTACTTTTCTTGTTCTCGAAGAATTCGCTGCAATTACTGTCGCTAACATTTTTTGATAATTGACAGCTTACCATTTCTAAACAGAGATTTTAACCCGTAATTTCTCATAATAAATTATTAATTTACCAAATCTTTTCGATTTGGTCAAATGAATAGTTTCCACAATTTTTGAGGTCAAATGAGCCATTTTCATGATTTCCGAGATGGATCAACCATTCTTGCCCCCGTTTGTCCCCCATTTCGAGGAAATAAAAATGGATGAAATAGTATTTGTTTTAAAAATGAGTGTTTAGAAAAAAAGAAAAAGTCTTTAATTTACGTGTAATATTATTTTATGAAAAATTGTGTGATTAAAAATAGAAGAGATAAAAATGAAAATTAATAGAAGCCAAACAGGGGCTTATCTCGTTTTTGAGATAAAAAAATGCATTGAAGAAGGCTCGTCAAAAATATATGATTGAAGAGAGTTTCTAAGCTTGTTTGGTATAGTTAAAAGGTTAATTAAAATCAAATTTTTTTTATCGTTATTTCATTATTGAAGCCGTTATTTTTAAATTGTTCTCTCACAGGTAAAACACACTTTACCTCTAATAGTAAAAAAAATTAATTATCAAAATCCCTATCAGACAAGCACTAAAGAGAAGATTATGGTATTTAACCCTGAAATAGAATTTATTTTTTTTCATAGTGATATTTTATTTTTAAATTTTATTCACCTTAATTCAATGATTTTGAGCCAATAATTAGATATTTGCAAGGCACAACTAGTGCTAAATCCAAAATAGTAAATATTAAAATCAACGAGATTCATTCATTTATATAATTAAATTATATTACTTTCCTTCATAATCAGTCCGAACCTCACTCTACACACTACTTGCCTTATGAATACTTCTTGAGACGTCACACGCAAGGTTCTACATTGAGTATATAGAGACATCACTTTGATGAAAAAAATAATGTTAATATGGATAATTTGTGTTTTACACAATCGTCGCCTATATATATATATATATATATATGATTCTAAATTGGATTTGATTCCAATAATTAAGTGGGCTCAACGATACCATTTATTGGATGTGGAAATTACACAATTCCCTATTTCAAAAATTCACAATTCTAAAATAAGATGGATAATTTAACCTTTCAAAAATCAGATGTTTTATTTTAATTAATATTTTTTTAAAATAAATATTTTTACTAAATATATATACCCCATTACACACACAAACCTTAATTAATTCCCAAAATCCTCTCACCACATTTCTCTCTCGTCTCACTCTCATTCTCACTCTCTCTCTCTCTCTCTCTCTCTATTCCCTGAAGAAAACGCAGGTGGATGTGGTGTGGTGATTGTGCGGCGGTGGTGTGGGGGTGGCGGATCTGGCAGTGGCGTGGCGGTCTAGCGGTGGTGTTTTCGTGGTGTGGCAATGTGTGGCAGTGGTATAGGGGTGAGTAGCGGTGTTGATGTAGGGGGTGTGTGTGGTGTGGCAGCGTGTGGCGGTGGTCTGGGGGTGCATGTGTGTGTGGCGGCAGTATGTGGCGGTGGTGTGATTTATAATGCGTCTTCTACTCATTTCCTGTTAAGATTTGAAGATCTCAAATGTTTTCCCAAAATCATCCTCTGCTCATTTCTTTCAAGAAAAGTTGCCATTAATTTATAAAGTGCAGATCTTCTTTTTGATGCATTGGACTCCAATTTTCGTTGTTGATTCATTGAATTGTGGACTATTTCATGTAAAATATAGCCATATTCTTCAAGGTATTTTCCCATGATTTTTCTTTTGGTTCTGCATTTTTTGTTTGAACCATTTCAGTTACTGCTTGAACAGACACCATTTCAACCACCGCTTGAGTAATTTGGCTGTGAAACTCGAGAAACTGATCGAAACAAGCTGTGGTGTGGTGGTAGCGGACATGGCGGTGGTGTTTTCGGTGTGTGGCGGTGGTGTTGATTTTGTTTGAGATAGTGGTATTGCTGTAGGGTAATGGTGGCAGTGGTTCCAGCGGCTACGGTGGCGTTGGTGATGTTGGAGTCAGCTGTTGTTTGTTGATGGTCACATATTAATTGGTTGATTATAACCATTAAATTGGTTAAATCGTGATCAATGTAATTAATGAAAAAGATAAATTGTGATAAAAAAATAATGTGTGATCTAAAAAATTAATAATTTGTGACTATTTAATAAGTTGCGATCTATAATATTTGTGGTCACATGTGATCGATGAAATTAACCGTGATCAATTAATTTGATAATTTGTAATGCTCGTGACCCAAAAATAATATGTGACCTAAGAAATTTTTTATTTTTGATCGAAAAAAAGTTGTGACCAATAAATTGATAAGTTGTGACTAAAAATTAATCGTGACCAATTAATCTAATAATTTGAAATGAATATATGAGTTGTGACCAATAAAAGTTTTGATTTTGTGACTAATGAATAATTTGTGATCTATAAAAATTTTTATTCGTGATTGAAAAATAATATGTGACCTATAAAATTTTTGATTTGTGACCGAAAAATAAGTTGTGACTATAAATTAATCCGTGACTAATTAATTTTTTGATTTGTGACCGATGAACAAATTGTGACCTTCAAAATTTTTGAATTGTGCTCGTAAAATAATTTGTGACATAAAATTTTTGATTTGTGACCAAAAAATAATAAGTGACTAGTTAAATTGTTAATTCGCGACCAAATTGTATAAATATGTGATCTAAATATAATTAATTAATTAAATCATAAATAAATTTTAATAAAAAATCTACTTTTTGAAATTTGAAACTTGTTTTCTTAATATTGAAATATGTCATACTTAATTTATTACTTATGAAATTTTTCCTTATTAGATACTCAAAATATAAACGATGGTTTCAAGTATTGAAAAACTTGGACTAATCGACCCATCCAATGCACAGACCCATTAAGAAGGAAAAATGATTTTTGTATTGTTAGAAGTATTATAATTATATCAAGTGAAAAGGAACCAAGATGGACTGATCATGCCAAGTTAGGAAGAGAGAGTTAGGAAAAATATAAGAGGAAAATATAAATAATGTTGTAATTATATAAATAAAATAATGAAAAGAAACACTACAACAACTGAGTAACAATAAAATAGAAGAATTATAGTTATTGATGTAGTTGAGGCGTTACAAGGAATCAAGATCCGTGATGCATACAGTTTCTTTAAAACATATTCATCTCCACTGTTGTGCAAGAAAATGATGACGTTTGTCTAGGGATATCAAACGGGTTGAGTGGCTCGGGCTTGTTGAGCTCACGGCCCACGAGCCAAAAGTTCACAAAAAAGTTTGAAAAATTTCCCCAAAAAAAAAATAAAATTCGAGCTCGTGGGCTCGACTCATTATTGACAAGCAACGAGCTCGACTCGGCCTATTGTCACCTCTATGTTCGTCTTCCAAGATACAACGGTTGAAAATAACTGATTAGCAACTCGTCATTACTTTAGGCGAACAGAGAATACTCACACTTTTATCACTGAGTTAGAACAAAAATTATTTTAGCAACTAAGAATAAAACTCCTGAAAGTAGAGAGGGAAGAGAGAAAAATTAGATTGAGGAGATAGCTCTCAAAGTTTGGTGTGTGGAATAAGGAGGATAACACCTCCTTATATAGTACTATGATGAAAGGGTGTTTCAATTCTCCATTAATTTGCATCAACATAAAAATGTTAACCACTGATTCAACTGAAAAAATTAATTTGAAAATTGAAACTTAATAAATTAATTCGGTTCATTTTATTTTGAATTTCTATCCATTAGATGGAATGATTATGCCAAGTTCTACATTGAGTATGCAGAGACATCACTTTGATGGAAAAAAATAATGTTACATCCCAATGTTAATGGATTTTTGGACAGAAAACGGTTATTATTGAGAAGATATGCTAATTTATAGAAGATTAAAGATAAAAATTCGATATAGAACTATTGTTTTAATATAATCATCCAATATATAATGAGAAAAAAATGGAGCTAATTTTAATTTTTAACACATCAAAGGGCCTTCAACAGTTAATGTAGTATTGTCACGACTTTCTTCGTTCAAATTTGTTGGTCACACTAAATGCATCTTATGAGAAAGAACAAAAAACGAATCAAGATTTTTTCAGTAAGGCTAAATTGGACATTTTCATTTGCTCGCGCTTGTTTTAGTTAAAAATCATATTTTTAGTAAATTTTGATAAAAAAACTAGTAAATTGTATGATTGAATAATTCATAAAAATTGAAAGTCCCATGAAATGTTTTTAGGAAAAAGTGAGTTTTGAAATGAGAGCAGTTTTGAAAAAATGACTTGTAATCTTAAACGAAAATATCCTAACACTATGAATGAGGGACATGGGAGATATGAAATTAGCTTTATTTGTATAAAAATGATAAGGGAGTTATGATTGCCACTTTGGAGTTTGAATAAATCAGCTGGGGAATGTTACTTTTTTTTTTTTAATAATCAGGTGTCCACTTTACAGCGACTAATCCTGAAGTCTATGATTCAGTCCCTCTTTACGCAAATCAGGTAAACTGCGGGTTGTGCTCCAAACTGGTCAGGGTCCAAGAATCCCCCAACTGAAATGCCAAAGTGTCGAGCGAGTCAAAACTAGGGAATGTTACTTCCACCTTACACCATGAGTGTATTGCAATTTTTGAGGGCCTCAAATTTTTAGCTGCAAGATAGCTTACCATCTCATGCGCGAGTCTGATTGTAGCAACACAATGAAGGTAGTTCACAAGACATATCTCACAGTGTCCCAAAGGGACTATACTTGACAATGTCATATAATTGAAAGTCAAGTTCGTAGATATTAGAATATCACTCATTCGCAAAGAAGTCAACGGGGCAACCCTTGTTTTATCATAGCAGACACTATTGCATTTTCAGAATTCTGTAAACGTTCTTAATTTTAATTTAAGGGAATGAAATCGTGCCATATACCCAAAATAAAAAAGAAAAAAAAAGTATAGGGTTTGATTGAAATATAAGTTTACGAGTTGTTTTGTACTATTGCAAAGAATTGGCCCCCAAATAAGAAATTTACATACCTCCAGCAAATAGCCTCCCGTTTTGCCCCCATTTTCCTTCGGGTGCGTTTGATTACAAGTAGGAAAATTACATGGAAAGAAAATGAATTCCAGGGAATTGAATTACCTAGAAATTGTTTTCATGAAAATTGTAAATTATTGTGTTTGATTGTATAAATTTTTCATGTGGAAAATATTGAAGTAAAAGTATTTTTTGATGTTCGTTTGACTTTGTTTTACGTGAAAATTGTCAATTTTAGGGATATCCTCTTTTACAATTATTCCTAAAATTTGTTTCCATTGCCAACAATTAAAAAAAATAAAAAAAGCAAAAAAAAATAAAATAAAAATAAGGTGGAAAACCAAAAACCACCTATCCCCTAGGAAAAAAAAGGTGGAAAATCACGCTTTAAGGTGTTGTACCTAGAAATTCATGGAAAATCAATTCCCTGGAAAATTTTGTCAATCAAACAGGCCAAAAGTGGAAGTTGGAATTCGAATTTCAAGTTCCATGGAAAATTTCGTGTAATCAAACGGGGCCGAATAGTAAATGGACGGAATTGTATTTTTTTTATAAAATGAGTGATTGAAATAAGAAAGGAAAATTTTGATTTACGTGTAAAATTATTTTATAAAAAATTGTATGATTGAAAATTAAAGAAACAAAAATGAGACATAATAGAATGTAAATTAACTGATTCCACGGAGGCACATAGCAACTTTACTTTTTGATCCACCGCCCTTCGCGACAGAAAACACCGGAGAAATCCATTTTCTGCACTGAATTTCCCTTAGGCATCGGAAAAATGGCGAGCTATCTGCAACGTCTGGCGAGCCACTCTCGTGTGGCCTACGGATTTACCATCACTCCATTTTCGAGAGCATTCTCTACAGAAGACGCGTTGGTCGAAATTAAACCCGGCCAGGTCGGCTTGCTATCTGGCATCCCCGAAGAACACCTTCGCCGAAAGGTATGTATTTTATGGGTATTGTATATTCAATTATTTTCGATCTTTTAGCTTTATATGGATTAAGTTTCCCCCTTTTTTGTCGATTACTCTAATGCTTTTAAATATTTTTCAAGTAATCTTTGATTATATATATATTCGATAAGATTAAGCAGAAGTTTATGTTGCGGGTTTTCTGTAAAGTTAACTGTAGTTTCTAGTTGTAAGTGTGTTTTGCGTCATTTTTAACAATTATTTACTGTATGAAATTGTTGCC